AATAAGTTCAATATTTTAGTAAAACAAAAATTCTTAAAAATTGTTTGAAAAGCAAAACCAGAATACAAGCTCAATGGTTAGCAGCTTGCAATAGGTAGATTGTTGACAGAATAATTTCTGGAGGCGACGGATCGAAGTTATTTTCACGGTCGCAGTCGTGTGAAACGATGTATTGATTGCGCAGCTGAAGAATTAATTATAAAATGGCGACAGACGATGAAAGATCGTGATTCACTGATTCGTTCACTCCGAAGCAACCATCGATCGACCGAGACAAAAAGATGGTCCTCGCACCGACGAAACCGATACTCTGTGGAGCTGTTTGCGCCAAAACACGTGTCGCGCGAAAGTCACTTGAGGAATGAATCAAGCGGCAGTAAGTCGATGCGCTTTTGTGGTTTCAAAAGTGACCGCCAGTATCCCGTCTAGCAGAAATCACGTGATAAATCTTTTGTATTACGTTGATACAGGCACGCGCTGCTCAGGCAAAACCTTGTAACACCGAACAACTTCTTGTTTTCTCTTACAATACAACCTATATAATTATTATATAGCCTTAATAGCCTAATATTATATAGCCTAATTTAATAGCCTAATTACTATATAGCGCGATAACTATAATATACCTATATAATTATAGTGCAGTGGAGTATTAGGCCCAAAAACAGGCGAAAAGACGCTTTAATAGAACTTGTGTATAATATATAAAATTGTTGCTCTCTTGAGATAGTTAAATGTTAAATCGAATAGCCTTTCTTTTACTTTATTTTTGCGATAGTGTTCCTCCCCTGTCTAAATTGCTGTTCACTCATTAATGATTTTTCTATGTCGCGAAGAAATCGTGCGAACTGCTTTCTTTACAGAGGTCTTTCCCGAAGAAAAATTTTGTTAATGAAATCAGAAATTGTGAACAGCAGCCATCTTTCGATTTCAGAAGCCTTCTTTCGACTCTTGACTTTTAGAATAAATGTAACTGTTATGTAAATTAACAATGTTATTCGAAATGTATTTGGCAATTAAGAAAATTACGTACAGCTGTAAAACCTTGCTCACAAGTTTTGATAATCTACAACTACAACGTGATACAACAATATTTACTAAAGCAAATATCCAAATAATCAAAATATCCAAAATATCCAAAATATTCGAATAACCAAAATACCCAAGTAATCAAAATATCCAAATAATCAAAGTATACAAATAATCAAAATATCCAAATAATCAAAGTATACAAATAATATCAAAATATCCAAATAATCTTTTTACCTCAAAATTTGAAAAAATCAAGATGGTTATTATAATTCTGTTTGCTCTCTTGAATTGACTTCGCGAAATTATTTGGTTTATTCCACATTATATATATATATATATATATATATATATAGGGTATGACAGTACGTATGGTACAACCACGATTGATTCTACATATGAAAATAAACCGAAAAACAAGAATAAAGTTTTTTCATAAGATGCTTTGTTTTCGAAAAAATTGAGTTGAAAGTTTCGTTAAGTACGCGTGCGCTTGATTATTTGCGGACTACGTAGGCGAGAATAAATGGTGCCAATGTTATGATAAGTAGTGATAATACATTTATTAACAATCGTATTGTATTACACATAAATTATTGAATTAGTTGTTGAAAGTGACACTTTTGTTGAAGCGAGGGCAACAGTCTATAGCGAATTCACAGTCAAATGCATGCCTAGTTGACGAAACTTTAAACTCAATTCTCTCGAAAACAAAGCATTTGGTGAATAAACTTTATTCTTATTTCTCGGTTTATTTTCAGACGTAGGATCAATCCCTGCCCGAATTTTCAACGCGTTCTGTCACACCCTGTATTTAAATTATACTTATTTCAATAACTTCGATAGTGTTTCAATTATATACCCTATTTGTGTGTGAATGTTTGTAATTGTTATTCTTTATTACGAAATTGTTCATTAATAGATCACAGTAATCTCTCTGGTTACATCGAATCAAAATTAGTTTATAGTTATTAGAATAGCTTGTAATATTCAATTATGTTATTAAAAGTAGCTTATAATTATAATTACAATTTCGATTTAGCAAAACAGTTATGATTATTAAAGGATATAAGGTTCCGATGCAATATTTACAGTATTTCACTGCATACAAATATTTTTATTCGTACCATATAAACACGATTTAATTAATAAGGTTATGAATAGCCATAATTACGTGCATCGCCCCGTAAGAAATGTTATTGTTCGATCACTCGTAACGTATCAGGCGACAACTGTAATTTATTCCGCGTTCGATTATAAAGTGTTCCCGTTATTTGAATAATCGCTTAATTCTCCAAGAAAAAAGAAACGTTCAATTAAAACTCCAATATTATTTCATTACCTTCCAACGAATAACTAAAAATAGTTCAGTCAATTCTTTGTTTTACAACCAACTTTTGTGCGACAATTACGAGCATAGTGAAGAAATATACGTGCAACGCTATTATTTGTAACATATTAATATATTAATAATATTCACGCAACGCTATTATTTGTAACATATTAACATATTAATAATATTCACGCAATGCTATTATTTGTAACATATTAACATATTAATAATATTCACGAAACGTTATTATTTGTAATACATTAACATATTAATAATATTAACATATTATTTTTAACATATTCATTGTAACATCTTCAAGAGTAGAACAACGCTTGAAATTGTGTTTTATTTCAGATTAGAGTAATCCTTGAAATTATGTTTCACCTCAAACGGTGAGACCGAAAAATAATTCGAAACGGTAAAATTGCAAATCATTAAAAAAAAAAAATGATACGAACCTTTTTCTTCTTGTAGGTATATTATTAGAGTTAATGCACTTGTCTATAAAATATGCAACGGAATGAGATATACAGAGGCTGCTTGCCTCAATATTTGTGAAGTTTAACCAACCTTTATTTTGTCATCTTTTTATCAACCAATCCATAAAAACGAAATTTGACGTTCTTAGCTTCGGCTTTTTAGGTGCACCTAATTTTCTACACAACGATACATTGTTCCAAGCGATTCTGCAACAAACGTTATCGCTGCTTGTCTAGACAGCTTTCGTAATATTATCTGCCGAATTAATACAATTTTGTACGATCGTTTTTATTTTCATATCAGACTACGCGATATCGCGGGCGCAAATTACTATCGAGTTCTAACAGCTTGATTGCGTAGTATTTGGTTACGTGTTATAAGTTACAATCTCAGACAAAATGATAGGACACCATGTATACATTTCGCATGATTAGAAGAAGAAAATGTACAGAATCAAATTATAATTTTAATTTCAATTTCTTCTAAAATTGTAATTTGACCTCTAAATGCATGTCTTTATACGAAGATAATAAAGTATTTAAGTAATCGTTAACATTTGAATGTTTCATTTTAATTTATTACATTTGACACAATTTAACATATCTGAAAAATTGTTATTACAAACGTAATCTAGTAAGTATGAATATTAGTAATTTTCCTTTAACTGGAAACTATGTAAATTGTGTTATTTTTTCAGACGAAAAATGTAAAATATATATATATATATATATATATATATATATATATATAT